TTAGGATTTTTGAAAATACCTATCTCTATTATGCATTAGCTGAAAGAGAAATCTGTAGCTACTATAACCCGCTCTGCTTAACTATATTTTACTTTTATTCTATTCATAAATAAAAACCTTAAAATTATTTTCTTTAATTCCTTTCAATTTAGTTGCATCCCCAATTGTCTCCTCGTATTTTTCATTCAAAATTTTATTAAATATTTTAAATTCTTTCTCATTTTTTAAATTTTTTAAAATATTTTTATTTAATTTATAAATTTGTTTAAAATTATATTTTCTATGTCCTTCATTAAATATTATTTCATTAAATGAAGTTAATAAATCTGTGAAATATTTACTTTTTTTAATTCTATTTGCTTCGTCAATTAATTGGTTTATTTCTGAAAATTATAAAATTATTATATTCAAATTTTCTTTCATTTATCTTTAAAACAACTTTAACAATTTAAAACAGGGCTCGGATTCGTACTTTATTTGAAAGTACAGTACTTTAAAATCGACCTCCGTACTTACGAAATTGAATTTGTACTTTATTGAAAGTATGTACTTTAAAATCAACATTTTTAAAAAAATGGAAGAAATCTGGCTTAAGGACCTCCAAATTTCTCAAAATTTTCGCCTGCGGCGCAAAAAATGAAGAAATCTGGCTTAAGGACCTCCAAATTTCTCAAAATTTTCGCCTGCGGCGCAAAAAATGAAGAAATCTGGCTTAAGGACCTCCAAAATTCTCAAAATTTTCGCCTGCGGCGCTGAAAATGGGAGAAATCTGGCTTAAGGACCTCCAAATTTGTCAAAATTTTCGCCTGCAGCGCAAAAAATGGATTTTCTGGCGCCATCGCCGCCACAAAAAGTGCATTGTAATGCACAAAATGCTAAGTTGAAACAAGAAATTATTAGAAAAGATTAATTTAAAAGAGAAATATAAAAGATTTGAGCACGAATATATATTTTCTAATTTAATTTTGAGTGTACTTTAAATGTGGAAATTTTGCCCCTATGTACTTTAAAATCAAGATTTTTGTACTTTTTATTGGCATTTTGTCGATCCGAGCCCTGATTTAAAACAAATGTCCTTAGACTATAAGCAAACTAAATTTTACAATGATTTTCTTTATGTAGTAGCTGAAAGAGAAATAGCTACAATACCCAGCTCTGCTTAACTATACATTACCGACTGCCACTTGGACTATAGGCAGAGCTAAATCCTCGGTATAGCAAGAGGCGAAACACTATCCCAGAAAATAGACAAAGAATGAGTTTTTGATTCCGAGTTCAACCATCACATTACCGACTGCCATTTTTATTTATCTGCTAGGCTGGAAACTTAACCGGCCTTAAAAAAAGTGTTAAGGTGGCGTATTTAGTATAAATGGCGAAGCCTTTTAAGTTGTTAGTCTATTGTTAATTTTATTCTGTAGTCGCGGCCTGTAACCTACTCCAACTCAGTCTCGTTATTCTATGGCATTGTTTCTTTCGTGATAAGCCTTATTGTTAGTCAAGTCTTCCTGTTAGTAACTGACACACCGCGTGTCGGTACATAACACAAAATACCGTAAATGCTCGAATAATTACCCTCTCTCAAATAATTACCCGCTTTAATAATAACCCCCTCCCTTTCCTTCTCTAATTTTAAAAATATTGAAAAAATCATTGTCCATTTTAATTATTGAAAAATTATAAGAATCTATATAAAAAAATAAATGGATTTTCTTCGATTTATGAGATTTATTGAGATGATTACCCCCTCCAGCGAGAGGTCGAAACAATAAAATTACCCAGGGTAATTATTCGAGCATATACGGTACGTACTTTACCTTCTTGCATATTTTTTGGAATAATTAATTTATTTTTATTTGTCCGTTGTTCATTAATTAATTTTTTCCTATTTTCCTCTCTAATATAATTATCTTCTCCCATTTCATCCACGTTAATTTCATTTATTAAACCTTCTTCATCATTTTCTTCAAAATTTCTAATTTTAATTTTAGAATCGAAATTTACATTTTTGAGTGTTTTATTTTCATTTTCTTGATTTTTTGAGCTTCCAATTTTTTCTTTTTCTTTTTCTTTCTTAATTTTTAATACACTTCTATGTTCTTCTTCTCCATTATTCCCAAAATTTTCAATTTCTTCATTCGGTAATTTTTCTTTTCCTTTATCATCTACAGAATTAATTAGATAACAAAATAAAATTAAAATTAATTGAATAATTAATAAATAATTACAAGAAAATATTTTCATACATATATAGAATAAATTTTTTTCTTAAAATTTTTTTAATAAATATTATATTTAAAAAATATAAAAAAAAAGAAAGAAATTATTTCATATTTATTTATTTATCCTTATAGGGAAAGATATTTTTTAGTTATTAAAATACTACATAGTTAATGTTAATAATAATAATTCAAATTATATGAAAAATAGAGACCTATATGGGAGACCATACTAAAATCGAGATCGGCATCTCAAAAAATCTCGATACCAACATTTTTGTTCAAGATCTAGTCTCAGCCTGGTTTATAATGTAAAGCATATAGCTATTTAATTCCTAAGGCTGTGACGTAGGCGGCGTGGTATAATGAATAACACATAAGTCCGGTCAAATGTATGTAGATGCTGGTTCGTTCCCATCTACCAAATAACCTCCGAAAAAGATAAAAAGCTATAGTTAATTAAAAACTCAAATATAATTTAAATACAACCCGAATTTAACAAAAAAAATTCTTTTAATATGCTAAAAAATTTACAAAATTTCTCAACTTAAACAATTTATAAATTAGACAATAATATGTATATGTAAAGCTAAATATAAATTTTAATGTCTAGCCCGTTTTTCTCAATAATAAACAAATTGTAATAAATTTAATAAATAAAAGGCGCTAATATGAAAGGAATGGCACAAAAAGGCACAAAAAGAGCAAAGTCGATTTTAAAATTATTAAATCTTTTGAATTTAAGTGCAAATAATTTAAAAATTAACAAATTGTGGGAATGGAATTTTGCTATTTTTCGATTAAAGGCAAACCTCGAATTAGAATACATTATTTAGAGTTTAAGTGGGGTTCACTGGGGTTCTGAGGGGGAGCTTCAACAAACTTTCTGTTTTCGGCTTTTTCTCCCTTGAACTTTTAGATTTTGAAATGTTAAAATGGAAGAATTCTAGCTTTCCAGTTTGAAAATTTAAATTTTGAGAGATTGAGATAATTATGAAAGTGAATTTGAATTTAAGAAAGCGGATTCAAATTGGGGGTTTTATCAAGAACGTTCTATGCAGGCGAAGTATGGCGTTTTGGACTTTATTTTCGATTGTCAGCTAGTCATAGACAAGCATTTTACTTTTTGGTTTTCAGTTGACATTCTGTTCCTTTCACTCCTTTTCTCTTAAAAGTTATAAATGACAATAATGGTCAGTCCGACACTATTAACAAAATTACCAATTAATATTTAAATATACATAAATAATAATTTTAAATAATATTTTATAAGTCAATAAAAAATTGTTTATTAAAAATTATATTTTATTAAGGGAAAATTAATTTTTTATATTGATTTATAATATATAGTTTGTAGATTAAGCATGCTTGTGTATAAATAAAAATTTAAAAAATAAAAAAAATTAAAACAAATTTGTCCAAAAATTAAATGTTTTTATGAATTGCTTTAAGTAAGGAAAGTTAATGTTTTTTCTAAAAAAATTTAATTTTAATTGGTTGGTTAATCACGCAAATATTCCTTGAATTAACGGAATCTTAAATGGAATTTTTACGTTTATTTAAGCTTTTAGGGCTAAGTTCTTAATGAACATTTGTGCATATTTCAACATTTTTATGCAGGTTCTGGTACATTTTCTTTTTATTAAAAAGAATTTTTTTCATAAAAACCTGTTATTATTTTTATAAATTAAGTATTTTATTCAAATTGTGAATTTGTTATTTTGGAATAAGAATTAAAAATCTTTTTATATTAGCGAATTATTAATTTGAAATAAAAATTTATGTAATTGTTTTTGATGTATGTATCAGGGATCGCGCCGACCCGATTCACGATTCCCGAAAATCGTGAATTCGATTTTTTCCCCTGGTATGTATATTTTGAAATATTCTAGAATATTATACTTAGAAAATTTACTAATTCAACAAATTACAGATATTTTTAAAGTGCATAAAAGCTTTAATTTAGATATTTTTTAATAAAATAGGTATCGCTTACTTTTAGCTGCATAAATAAAAATATAATTATTTAAATGTACTTTAACAATAATTTAAAAATTTTAAAAATAAATTTCAAAAAAAAATTTATAGACAAAAGATATATATGGGGCATCAACTGTTTTTTAAATAGTTTTTTAGTTTATTCTGCCCTTTTATCTTTTTTTTAAATTTCATTTATATTTACACAAATGAACTTATATTTGACAAAGCTGGGCTTTATAAGGGATCTCATGTCACTCAGAAATCACATTCATTCAAACACTGAAAGGCATAACTGTCTATCAGAGTCAAAACAAAATAATGGTTAGTTATAATTTACTAAAATTTATGAGATAAAATAATTAATTCTAACAAACAGAACTCTCTATAATTAAAACATTAATTTTGTGTCTATAATAAGATTATCTGTTATATGCCTTCTACCAAAATTTGATTTTGACTCACCACATTACTAAAAAATTTCTCTCCTGGAAATTATTGTTCTCCTGAATCCTAATCATTATTAATTTATCAATGCCTTGAAAACTTCTAATCTTACAAATTAACAGAAATTCCTTCTGTTCGCGGTCATCCTAGTTTCTGTTTTTGACTTTGCATTCCTTGCAAGCAAATGGGACTCAAAAAAGAAATCTGTCAGATGTGAAAAGGCGCGTAATTTTGTGGAAAAATTGAATGGGGGAGAGATTGGTGATGGGACTTGGACTGTGAGAATTCTTTTTCAAATGATAAAAGATTCTTAATTTAAAAAATTAAAAGGCAAAATACAATCACCGTTTTGCTGCAATGCCTCCAACCCAAAGAAAGAAAATGCAAGGACTTAACGGCCCCGTAGACGGATCTTTACCTCGTCCATACAATTTAACACATATTGCTGAAGATAAAACAAATAAAAATTGTTTTTAAATTAAAAAAAATAATATCCTTATTTAACCTTTAGCTTCCAAAAATCGTTCAAAACGTTCTGCTGATCAATGTACTTACTACTACGAATTCGATTCACGCACTCAATGGCCACAATGTGCTAAAATAATTGATAATATTAGGGACCAATCAACCTGTGGGGATTGTTGGGCAGTAGCTAGTGGGTCTGCTTTTACTGATCGTTATTGTATTGAGAGAGCAAAGTTGGGATTATATACATCTCCATATAATCCAAGAAATCAATTCTCTGAATCAGATTTGATGAGTTGTACGCCAAATACTTTTGGGTAATTATTTTATTAATTCACCCAAAACGGCCCTTTGAAATTCTTGGGAAATAATATACCTAAAAATAAATTTCATAAGACTAAAATTTCCTTGTAAATTTCAGATGCAGCGGTGGATGGCCTCTCTATGCCTGGCAGTACATGCAAACTAATGGTATTGTTACTGGCTCTAACTATACCCAATACACTGGATGCAAACCTTATCCATTTCCCCCAATCGGAACTGAAACATATAAAGCTCCTGGATGTTCTCCTTATTGTACAAATACTAACTGGCAAAATAATTATAGAAATGATAAAAAATATGGTTATAGAAAGATTTTCTGAATATAAAACACAAAAATTTCTAATTTAGCTACTTGGGCAGCAGGTCTAACAGGATCTACAGGCCAAGAAGTTGTAGATGCAATTAAAGCTGAAATCCAAACTAACGGTACTGTTGTTGGGACAATGTATGTCTACTCAGATTTCTACCATTACAGTCAAGGAGTTTACAAAGTGAATAAATGTTTTATTAGAAATATAATCTAAATAATTAAGCATACAACCGGTGAATATGATGGAGGGCATGCAATAAGACTTATTGGATGGGGAACACAAACATGTGATGGTGTTGATCAACCCTTCTGGATTGCTATAAATTCGTGGAATGTTGAATGGGGAATGAAAGGAACTTTTTTGATTGCTCAAGGAAATGATGAGTGTCATATTGAAAGTATGGGCATTTCTTTTGGGACACCGAGAATTTAAATTAATAAGAAGGAATTTCTGTTAAAGAGAATAAAATTGGTAAAAATGAGGCTAAAATTGAACATATTTTTGATGGAATTTAACAAAAAATAATGAAAAACCTCAATTTTTACCTATTTTATTTCTCACAATCAAAAATAAATTGATCAATTTTAAGGATCATTCTATACTTTTCTTCTATTTAGTGATAAGTTAGCTCTTTATTTTTCATTGAAATTGTTGATTTAATAAAAAAAATAAAATTATTAACAAGAATAATTTATAAATAAATAGTGTAAATTAGGGTAGCTTCTCGTCCACCAAAACCCCGACTCCGAAGATTTTTTTGGCAAAAAAAGGCCCATGCCTAAGGGGGGCCCGTGCCTGAAAAATTAATATTAGGAGACCATGCTTTTTTATTAGGAACAAGTGCGTTAGAGTGTTTGGCATAGGGCGGGTTCGAATCCACCGTAAATAACATAATAATTTGTATTTAATCTAGTACTTTCATTATTCCGTAACTAATTAATTTTTTACTCTTTTTGTTCTCAGTTCACCATTACAAAGTAAACAAAACATTTGTAGCTGGAAAAGAATAATTAAAATATTATTTAAATCTGATAATAGTATGTCTAAAAAGTTTTTTCATGACTTAAAAATTGTACGTCAATAAAACACTACAGCGGATAAAAAAGTATAATTATTACGAGAAAATATTTACATACATATGTACTTTAACATAAATGCTTTAACAAATTACTAGAGTCCAGATTTTTATGTAAATTGAATCGCAAAATATGGCCATAAAATATTGAAATAAATCGGCAAAATATTGACAAAAATGACATAAAATCATTGAAATAAATTATTGTTTATTTAGTAACATAAACTCGAATGCGCATTCGATTCAACTAAAATTACGAAGAAACGCAGAATTTTGGCAAAAAAGCGCCAAATAAATATTGAAATAAATTTAAACGTAAATTTGTCGTAAATTTTAATATCGAAAACTAATAGCATATTTGGTTTTTTCCAGCAAAGTGTTTTTGCAAAAAAACAAAGTAAATTATGAAAACTCCAAAAAAAAAGAGAAATAGGTATAGCAATTAAAAAAACATTTCGACTCATTAGGGTGAAATAAAAATTTCTATTATGTCCGCTAGATTGCCAATAAAATCTGCTACAAGATACAAAAGGAATGCACTAAAGGAATGCAATAATAAATGTACTAAAAACTAATAAATGTACAAAAATTGTACTAATAAATGACTAAAATGTACTGATTCTCTGAAAGATGGGTCCATTGTATCTTGTAGCAACTTTTATTGGCTAGTTGTCGAGTATGAAATAAAATTTCAAAGAATTTTTTTTGCAATTTAGCTACTTCCTAAACGGGTGAATTTAAAATTAAAAATGGATGTTTATTTCTTTAAACCTGATGAATATGAACGTTTATATAATTGTAGTTCCTATAGTATTGACCAAATACCTTTGGAAAAACGTAGACATGAATGGCTTGGAATTTTTTTCTTCACTATTGGCACAATTTATGAGGTGATAATTATAAGTGTTAATTTTATAGAGATGTCAAGATCTTAACGCGACCCCAAGGTTTTGATACGATTTTCGGTACTAGCTTCCATTACTGATTGCTAGACATATTCTACATATTTTATGCTAGATAAGCCGGATAAAATTGGGGAATTTATAATATGAATAAACGTTAGATTTTCGATATCTCTTCTTTAGTCTTTTGTTTGTTATATTGAGAATATAAACGAAAAATCTATTTTTTCTACATCAGATTTTATATATCCCCTGTATGTTCTCAATATGGAAAAGAATGAAAAATAGCCATTGTTACAAAATAATGTTTTGTATCGGTGTTATTGATATGTTAACACTTTTGTGTAATGGATTATTAACTGGTTATTTGGGTTATTATGGTTACGTTTTTTGTTCTTCCCCGCGTTTCATTTATATTGCTGGGGCTTATGCACTAGGTAAACGAGTAAAAATTATTTTGAGATCTGAATTATTAAATAAGGTTGTTGGTGTGCGGAATCGACAATGGAGGTTGTTTTGGCTATAAACCGGTGTGCTGAGCTTTGGTCAAGCGTTTTAGCAGATAAATTGTTTAACGGTAAGCATAAAACAGATCACAAGATACGGATAATATCCGGATACAGTAAAAATTTCAGAAATTTTTCCAAATATGTAGAATTCCCCAACTATTTTCCAATATAGAGTTCCAAAGACATTGTGATTTTCCGACTGTAGGAATTTGTTCCGATAACGGGGAAAGTTGTTTCAAATATAGGAGAAGTTGTTCGTGTAAGCAAGAAGAAAAATACCAAATCTCTTATAGTACCAAATTATCTCACTGTATAGGTTAAATGGCCTGGGCAAATGCCAGTTTCTTATAGTATATTACGGGCCCAGGTTGCCCGTTCTTATAGTACGTGCCAAGGTTGACCATTTTTAGAAAATGGTTATGTTTGGGGATAGTGATTGATTGGCTCAAAGGTTACATGGACATAAACGGATACTGATATTGACCTCACGGATATATCCGGATACAGATACGCAAATCCGTGTCCATTATCTTAAGGCTATTATAAATGAAAATAAAAAGTTTTTCAAGGTAAAAAGTTCATTGTTTGGATAGCAATTCCAGTTATTTATGGTTTTGCAATGGCATTCTTTACAAAGCCAGTAGCTTTCAGTAGTACCTATTTTGGCTGGTTTTTTAATCCACATCTGTCATACATTGAAGATACCAATGAAACTGTATGTTAAATTGCAAAAGAGTTAGCTATTTAATTATTCCGGGGCTCCTCATTTTTTACGTTCAGTTACACTTGTATATACCTCATTCCAGCCGCAATATTTTAATGTGATTAACATTTATTAAATGGGGTATTTGTGGATTTGGACGGATTAAAAGGAATATCATTGGACTTGTATTTGATGTTGAGAGATCAAGAGGGATATCGGTAGATATCGAGGGATATAAGTGGATTTGTAGGGTTAGCAGAAGTACGAGTACGAGCAAATTTTAAAATTCCAAACACTGCTCGTAAACTCAGCCCCCGCCATCGAAAGCTAAAAGCAAAAAAATATTAAATATAATTTTAAGTATGAGAATATAATCAGTTGTACACACAATAATATAATATTGGCATTGTTAGTGATTATTTACAGTATGTTTTACATCATTTTGTTAGTTAGATCCAAAGGTAGAGAACAACCAATTAATCAGCAAACTTTTTCAGAAAAATTGGTTTATAAATAAAATAATTTTTAGAGGAATGCCTTTTTATTTTAGATATTCCTGCAAGTATTTTTGATTAGTCTAACTAATGCTACAGCTGCTTTTATTTATTTTTATATGCAATATTTCAATGTTAACGAAATGTTAATTATACTTGGACATTTTAGTTGGGTTAATGCTCATGGTAAGAATAAAGGAGTGAAATAAATGGTCAGGATTTTCGGGAAATTCCAAAAATTAGTAGAAAAATATAAATTAAATAACATTAAATTAAAAATTAGTTTTTATTTCCCCCACTACCAATTCAAAATGGAAAAAGGTGGACAATCTGAGAAAACATGAGAGGAGGTGAATGAATAATTGGTAGGAATGGATGAGAAAAGATGAAAGGTGAACGAACAATGTATTGAGGAAGTAATATGTGGAAATAATGAACCTCCTTAAGCTGATAATCCTATAGATCCTCTCATATCCCCGATTTAAGAATTAAGAAGGAACCAGCAAGATACATTAATCATATTAATTAACACAGAAGTCATCTTGATTTACTTAATTTTTAATATTCTCAAATCTACCAAGAATTCCTATGAATTCCTAATAATAGCTATAAAATAAAAGACGGTAAAATAATTAAGGAATACCACCAGTCATTTACTTAACAATGAATAAATCAATCCAACGTGACTGCCTCGAAATGCTTAAGAAAATTATTCGAATGGACGTTACTGTACATCCAATAACTACAGGAAGCCACCCGTCATTTCAGCCACGTAATACAGCACAGCAACTTAACCTGCAACCAAGAGCCGTTTTAGTGGCACCAAAATAAATAATACATTTTTTAGCTATATTTCATTCGCGTCCTATTTTTCTAAAGATGTACCAAAAGTCGTACTCGTACCTGTTTACGAAGTATGAGTAAAAGCAAAAAAATTAGGCATGCACGAGTACGAGGACAAAATAAGGCCTGACGAAAGTACGAGTACGAGCAAATGGGTACGAGTACGACCAGTACCTCTCGTACTTTTCATTAAATTTTTTAAGGAAAAGAGTAAAAAATATTTATATTTTCTCCTATGGCTAGTTTAACTAACTTTACTCACTTTTATATTTTGTTGGTCTAGGTTCGAATCCACGGTTGGGACAATTTTTCCAGGTTTGGGACAAACAATTTTTTCTTCCAAAAATAAATGTTCTTAAGCTTTTATTTTAATATAGAATTGTAAACGTTAAAAAATTTATCTATTCATAAATTTTCAAAAATTTTCCCCTGCGGCTCAGAAAAAGAAGATTTTTGGCTTTTTGACCTTCCAAAATTCTCAAAATTTTCGCCTCCGGCGTTTAGAGTTATTTTACCTCATACGATGATTGCGTAAAAATTTTGATTTATTTACACACATAAAAACATTGACCATATACATATGTATTTCTTCATTTTTAGAATGTGCGTCAAATCTAATAATTTCATTCTTCCGTAACTAATTAACCTTTTTATCTTATTCATGTTCTCTCAGTTCAGTTAAAATATGATTCAGTTTTGGCTCAGGAAAAATAATTAAAATATTGTTTATTTAAAATGTTACTAAGAACCAAATGTGATAGCAAGTCTAAAAGTATTTTCAAAATACATAATTAAATGGACTTAAAAACTAAATTTTTATAGTTGCGATATATTTTTGTTTAAATAATTGTATAATACAATCTGTCCCAAAAATATACATCACCTATATTTTGTGGCTTAAGTCTGGCTTAAGTACGTCCAGCAAAAATAATTATTTAAACAAATAAAATAATTATTTTTAACTATAAAATGTCAATCATTTCTCTTATTTACCTTATTATTCACACAAATCAAAATTTATAAAAAAAGAATCAACTGTATGTACATATAAGTTTTGTATCCGTACTTATAGATAGGATATAGGTAAATAAAAATAACCCATCATATGTTTGGAAGAATAGTCTATACACTTCTTCGGGGAAAGTTTCTAGTTATCTTGATACAAGAAATTTAGACAATTTTGATTTTCTATTCCATTTATTTATTAAACAAATTTTGACTTGTTTTGATTTTTCTTTTAAAACAATTTCAATAATAAATAAAAATTAACATTAGCATAGGATATAAATATATTTTGTCCATTTTAAATTAAAAATGGATGTTTATTTCTTTAAACCTGATGAATATGAACGTTTATATAATTGTAGTTCCTATTGTATTGACCAAATACCTTTGGAAAAGCGTAAACATGAATGTCTTGGAATTTTTTTCTTCACTATTGGCACAATTTGTGAGGTGATTATGAAAAATAATTTTCTAGAGATGTCGTGCTCAATCACTTGATTAGATGCATGGGGAATGTGTATTATAGAAACTGTGTAGGGGTTAACCAACCCTTAGCCTATGTTAACCCACATATATTGCAAAATGCGGGTAATACAACCCTCATGCAGAATGAGTGTTGTGGCCAGACATGCACGAAACTCCAAAATTTTTTCAGACGAAACGAAACGAAACAAAATTTTTAAAAAATCGTTTCGTTAACGAAACGAGACGAAACAGTAAAAATTTAGCGAAACGAAACGAAACAAAACGAAACATTCTAATTTTCAAAAAATTTAATAAAAACAGCTTTATTTTCTTAATTATTCGATTTTAAACACGTTAATAGGCCAGTTATGGCTTGCGGGACCTTAAACTTTGGTCCCATGCTCGAAAATTTTTGCGTGTACCCTCCTAATCCACATATCAGCCCTAATCGACTCCAATCGAAACACCAATCGAATTGTGTTGATCAAATGTGCATATCAGCTATCCTGCCGACCCGTTTCCTGATTACTAAAATCGGGAAATAATTTTGTCGGAAATTACTATTCCCGGAAACCGTTTCTGATTTCCGACACTTCTTTAAATTTTTTAAACCCTCCAAATCCACCGATATCCCGTTTACTCTGTTAATTTCATATACCACCATTGCTCCCACCAAATCTCCTGATATTCCTCTACTCAGATTTTTGTTGATTAACAACGTTCATGATTAGGGTTGCCAAAATGGACCGACTCGGGTTGAAAGATCGAGTCGGACCTAAGATATTTGGCCCGAAGGAGACTATTACTGGCCCGATTCGATAAAGGCAGGCTGAACTTATATCTTGAGCCATCCCCTGATTGGCATTAAGAGGTTGCTCCCTCCCTTCTATATGCCTAATTGACATAGAATTGAATAAAAAACATAAAACTAAACGGGGAATCCAAAAAAATATACTAAATTATGCTCCGTAGGCGCTTAAAATCCAGATTTCAGCGCCGCAGGCAAAAATTTTT